TTCTTCTTTCTCATATTCTAAGCTTCTTGTAACTTTTCACTTCTAAAGGGAAGGTCAAATAGACACTGAGGTATAAATACACACATCTGTCAGTATTGCAAGAAATGTAAAAGCTTTATGTATTCAAAGAGTTATCAGATGTTGGAAATTATAATAGAGCATATGATGGAAATCATAAAACTGAAGCAACCTTTAACAAATTAATTTCTATATTACATACTCTCTAAATCTTCCTTCTAGTCCTCACTACTGAACACAAAAAGAAAGAAAGATAGATTCAACTTGGAAGAATTTATTGTGATCCTGAGCAGAAAGTACTAAAGAAAAAATATTTTGTGTTAGAAGTGTACTTTGGTATCTATTCTAAAAGAAGTCTATTCTGAGTAACAATCGTTTAAAAATAAAAAGAAAAGAAAAACAAAACGAAGCTATTAGACTTAATAGCTATGGGCCCCAGGATGGAAATGGGCGCTAGCAGACATAACCACTGCACTACCTTCACTCTACTTCTTTCCATACCCCTCTTCCATCCACCTTTTCTGCTGCAAGTATGTCTTCCCATGCCTGTCTGAAGAGCAGACAGAGTAAGAGGTTTCATGTGATAAGATGTACAGAGCCACAAGTGAGACAATGAAGGGGCAAGTATGAAGTAAGAGATGTAGAGAGATAAGGGTACTGAAATAGTGTACATGCTGTCAGGTGCCTTTTGTAAATTAAATTGTTGAAATTAACTTTTAGTTAAGGTCTCATATAGCTTCAGAGAGGCTGGGGCCTCTTCAAATTATGGATGACCTCTCGTGGATTAATTAGTAGAAAACTGTATAATTATCAATAGAATAGTATTTGTTACGTGGCAGTTGAAGCCCTTAATACTGTCGATGTTACGAAATGAAAGGACAATTTTTGTTCCCTGACTTAAAGTGACTTCTAACAGGAGAGAAAAAAACTAACCTATTTCAAACAGAAGACAGAGCTAAAATCTTACACTAACAATTTGTACAACAAGATTTGGGAGAAAGGAGAGGTTAATATGAATGGCAAAATTTCTCTATTTGTAAAATTGAAAGTAATAATACAGCTTATCTTGGAGTATTACTGATAAAACATTTCCCAAGTGCCTGACAGAGTAACCATCTAGTAATACTGCTTATTAATTCACTAAAATGTATAAAATATAGTGAAGCACCTTAATGAATAGGGAAAAGGTTATCAAAAGAAATTTTACATAAGAAATTTTACATAAGATTAGAGCAACTATGGTATACTTTTTAACAGTTCTAAATTATCAGTAGGCCAAAAATTACAGAATTTTTTAAGCCTATAATTAAACTGACCATTTTATTGCCAGTTACAAAAACGTACAGACTCCTTGGGCAAGCGATATGACCACATATAGCAGTAATTTAAAAAAATGGTCTTGTGATTTAATGAAGTAATGCAGGCTTAGAGTTATCTTAGGAAAATATAAATGAAAAATTGACAAGTAATAAGAGGTTTACTGCAATTATGACTATTTAATATGAAACCAGAATCAACTTAAAAATCAAATAAAAGAAAAATATAGGAATGGTTTGATATATTACAGTCCCATCCACATGGTGGAATATCGTGTTATTAAACATGGTGACTATATCTACAATGTTCAATTTTTAAAGTGTTTATAATAAAAATAATTAAGAATAAGATTATGCAATAATAAGGATCAAATTTAAAGATTTCTGGTCACTGAAAACTTTCATCAAAAAGGTAAATAGACAATGAGGGTCTTGGAGGAGATATTTGCAAAGTCTAAAGTTGAGAGGGTATTACTACCTAGAGTATCTTACGAGTTCTCTCTCTCTCTCAAAAAAGTGAGAAATAATATAAAATAGCCAAAGTTTACACATAGGCAATTCTCAGAATGCAGAACTTGGCTGACTATAAATAGATAAAGTGATGCTCAACTGAAATACCGACCAGTGGAATAAAAATAAATGCAATGCTGAAGTAATGTTCTATGGCTATCAACTTGTAAAACTGAGAGTTATATGAAGATGTGTGCTGATGATTATGGCAAGACAGAGCCCTTTTGCATTGCGGAAGTGTGAAATGTGCATTCATTCAGTTGAAAATCTGGCAGTAGCACTCCATAGATTTATAAATGTGTGTGCCTGACAACCGAGCGATTCTTCACACCTGGGTATATGCACCAGAGAGAATTCCTAATGGATTTGTAAGGAGCCATACATGTATGGTTTATTGAAATGTTGTTTGGGATCGAAGGACTTACAGACAATGTAAGTGCCCACTCCTGGGAGTCTGGGTAAGTAAAATTTGGTGTATGTACATGATGGCAAAATGGGTTGCAGCTGGAAGAAATGTACTTATTTTAAATATATAGATATAGTTAGATGTCCAACACAAACATTGAATGAAAGTAGTAAGAAACAGAATGAGGTTTATAACACAAAAAGGCTTATGCAATTTAGAACACATTCACGTACACACAAGTGCATACTATTTTCCGGAATGCCACGCATACAGCTAAATAAATATATGAAGAGTGAATTTGATGAAAATGCATTCTACAAGGGATTGAAGTGAGGACTGGAGACTGAGAATAAAACAAAATTAGCTAGGGTTCCTGCCCAGATGATAGTAATACAAGGCCACACACTAAAGAGTATAATGAACTCAATTCTGTGCACCTGAGATTTAAAAAAAATGCAAATCCAAAATTTATATAACTTTAAATGAAAAAAAGCTGAAAGAATTCATAATGGCATGCAAACTGATTGAAATAACAATAAAAGTGATTGAAATAACAATAAAAGTACTGATTGAAATAACAATAAAAGTACAAACTAATGTTTAAATGAATTTATACCAGAACACAGACATGGTATGCAAATTGATTAACAAAGAAAACAAACACAAATTGGTATACACAGTGATAGAAACTACCTAAAAATATATTCATGTGAGTAGGTTAGGGAAAAATTCCTGTTCTCTGGTTTTTCTCAACATCACCTTCTAGGAAAACAATTTATAAAGATGGTTTTTGAATGATTTATGAGCAAGGACACTTTACAGAACCACTGTGGCAGGGCGTCATCTTGTGTTCTTGGAATTCCTTTTAGAACTTCCCCTCCTCCTTGCATGAGGCTAGAGGGTAAGTCTAACCAAAGCTGTCTTCTGCTCTCTCCTCCCACTCCCCAATGAAAGCCTGAAGCAATAATTTAGACAAGTCCTTGTGTCTTTTACTGTCTCTATTTGGATTTTTTGTCCATATGGCTTGTAAGGTAAGAAAGGGTCTTGACTTATTCATCCTAGGAAGAATTTTTGCTGCACACTCCACACTCCTTCCATGAGCTGATATAATTAGGAGTGGGGTCCAGGAGAAAAAAGGACACTAATCTGGGCTAGTCAACATCAAAGAATCTCTTCTGTTGCCCTTTCAGAACTCAACTCACTAAGCCAGGTTCTCCAGAGGGGCGGAAGCTTGCCCCGTCTCTTAAAGCAACCTTGCATTTGATCTCATCTCCTGTGCATCTTCTGGACCCTTCAAAGAAGGGTGAGTACAGTGTTACTGCAGAGGCAGTCTAGAAGAGGATTGAATGCCCTGTTCGCTATCCCAGAATAAGACAATGTGAGCAAAAAATAAGCTTGTTCTTTAAAATTGAAAAAGCTATTTTAAGTAATAGAATTATGGATGATTATTGCCTCCAATTTTACTTTTTTAAAATAAATATATACATATGTCATTATAGTGATCAAAAAGCAAATAAAAACATACTTCTTTTTCTAGTGTTGGCCAGAGTGCCGTTCTAGTAATGAATTGTATTATACAATTAACAAGTGTCCCATTGTGTGCTAATTAGTACATTTATTCTTTATGGTTTTAACTGTTAATAATACGGTCATGAGTAAATGCCACATCTCCTGATTTGAGCACTTTTTACAGACCTTTGTAGCTTACATATCACCTAGCAGGACACAGGTTTGAACTTCATGGGTCCACAAACAGCAGGATTTTTTTCAGTAAATACAATAAGCCCTTCCTACCTTTGGGTCCACCTCTGCTGATCCAAGCAGAGGGAAAGCAGTATTTTTGCATTTTCAACAGCAGTTTCCCCACTGGGGAATCCAACCACGGACTGAAAATACTGTTTTCAGTCCAAGGTTAGTTGAATTTGCCTATGCTAGGGGCCGACTTTAGAGTTAAAGTTGCACAGCTTTTTGACTGCGCAGGAAGGGGTGACCCGGACCCCGTGTTATTCAGGGATTAACTGTTATAGGACCTATGTGACAAATAGGAAATATTCTAAAATGGAGATAATTGTTTCTGAATGCTACATACACAATATTCTAGCATCTTTCTCTACTCCCTATTAACCTTATTTTTTCCTTCAAAGTGTTTCTGTTGTTTACTGGAAAATGTTTATTACCTTTTCAATTTCTCTCATTTACTCTATGCTTAACTCGCCACCAAATGTAGCAACTTCCAACTTTTTATCTGACAGATGATCTTATTTTTCTTTCGTTTTTCTCACATAATTTTTATTTGGACAACAAATGTATTTCAAATCCTCGATTCTTAAAAAACTGTGCTCCCAAAGTGTTGTAGAGAAATTTTATTTTTTACAGAATGAGTCCATTCATCCTCCAAAGTGTTGTAGAGAAATTTTATTTTTTACAGAATGAGTCCATTCATCCTGGGGTTACTCTGTTAACCCCAGAAATCAAGACCCATTATCTTATTTTTATTACTTTTTTTTTTTTTTTTAAGATTTCAAGTCCCGGGATTACAAGAGCACTGCATTTATGTATTATGTGCAATAATATAGAATGTAATACTTTATTGGAAAACTATAATTATAGTAAAAATAATGATCGTCGTGATAGCAGGGTGTTGTCTGGTCTTGTACCATAGGGCCTTTCCAAACAGTTATGGTGACACAAATTGAGGAGATGGGGAACTAGCATAGTTATATTAAAGTGAATTAAAGAACTTTTATTACCTTAGTTTCTTTCCTCCATCTGCAATTTTAGCTTTTTGAAGATAACCTTCTTTTTCAACCATCTGCAAGAAGAACGCATATGTTAAAACTGTGACAAACTCCCATACATTATTAGTTTAAATGAGCTTATGCTTTCCAATAGACCTTGCAATGATAGAAGTTTCCAGGCATAGAACTTCATTAATAATGCATATATAGCTTATGGGAAGTGCCTGAAAGATCATAGTCATTACAAGCCCCTAATATCCAAAAGAAAGATTACAAAGAATAATGTGAATGATTTGTTAGATAGTGATACACCTTTACTCACTTCTCCTTCTGGGCATTGAAGTCACTTTCTTACAAAATTGATTAACAATGGCAAAACAAAGACAGATTTAATGTCTTCCTTAATTTTCCCGATCATCCTTGGAAAAGTTCAAAAATAAGGTTTTTTTTCCTCACCCTCACTTCCTCATGTACCTCCTGAGGCAATGGATCGAGAAGAATTCAGTAGAACTAGGTAACAGCCTTCTGAATCACGGAAGAGCTTTTAAACCAATAATATTTCATGCATTTTTTTCTGTTACCAAGAGATACTGTGTAGCAATATCTCATTAATTCTTCTCTGATATAGGTTTGCTTACTTTTCTATTTGTGTTTATTCATTTTTACTACTAATATATCTGTAGGTTTCTTAAAAGAGACTCAATAATTCACTAGTCCACAGAGGTTTTGTGAAGTTCTAAGGTAAATAAATGAAAATAGACTTCCAGAAAAGTCTATAATAGGTGTTTTAATTTCTAAGCATTCTGTTTCTACCTTCCCCTTGTCCCACACTCCCCAATCAAGTCTTTCTCTATGTTCCATCTTTTCATCTTGGTGAATTGCTGACACCTTCTCTATGCTATATGCTAAAAGCTTTAGGAAGTTACCTGCCTAATATCAAAGGACCATACTTCCTCAGTGCCACTCCATATACTTTCCCCTGACTGTAATACTCTACCTCCACCATGTCTCCATCTCACAAACTCCTAAATATATTAAATCTATGTTAAAATGCAATCTGCTTGTTGTATGAGAGTCCTTCCATGATTCTTCTGCAATGTCTTTTAGATACCCCTATACTGAATCTCCATTTTCATTCGCCATTGTCACTGTCACAGCTTTTATTGGATCATATTGTAATTGTCCACTTATTTGGTTGTATATGCATCTGTGCTGTGACTTTACCTTTCACATCTGAATTCCCAGCACCTAGAGTACTTGCTGGCACGAATAGTCACAATAATAAATATTGTTTGAACAAATGAGTGGATGAATAAATGTCTATTTAAATATTTATTTAAATCTTTATAGGAACAAGTCCTCCCCGCCCCCGGCCCCCCACCAATTCATCTGCACTAGGATAGGTGTAAGGAAGAGATTTTGGGGGTAAATGAGTTTTCCCAAACCACTAAAATTTTACCAGTTAGGGAATTGGCTATTTATAGACTAACTCTGATATAGGTAAGATCTTTTCTGACTTGTTCGTTATTGTATTTCTAATGCAAAGCACAATACTTGACCTTCAAAATATATTTGACAAACACGTTTTTGAATAAATAAGGATGACTTATGATAATTCTAGAGTATTTTTCATGTATCTACATTTCCCGAAAATTTATTATACTTCAGGATATGCTCCACAAGTGTAGAAGAGTCTAAGGAAGCTCTCTTGCACAATTTTTAGAATAATGATGTTCAATAATGCCTTTTTTGTATTTGCATACATCTATTTGTTTGCTTTTCCTACCTTTTCTTCTATGTATACTGATGCTTTCTCTTGGTGCCAAGAAATCTTGTCTACCCTCTAAACACATATAATAAGTTCAGTGTTTAACTCTGGGCAGCACTGGTTTCTACAAATGTTTGGAAGAAAGATGTTTTCAGTAGCAATTAGCATTAGAAGTTGGGGCGGGGGGGTCCTTTCCTTATGAATGTATATTGAGAAATTTTGTCATGTAACCATGGACAAAATTTGGTTTGTTTAAGCTTTCTTCTGATGAAAATAAAATAGTTACCAAAAGCCTGAATTTATACCAAAAAACTACCAAACCTCTCAACCAATCACAAAAATTGATGCATGCATTTTCAGCTAAGAATATTGCCTTTCTTACCCCTCAAATATTCACTTAATGACCATTGCATAGACATTTAGTACCCAGAAATGTATTAATGATGATCACTTCTCTAAAAACGAAGAGAAATATGAAAACAAAGAGCTAATACTCTTGCAAGAACAAATCAACATAAGCAGGCTTGAGTTATATACCTTGAAATTCTCTCTCCTGAAATACATAAGCAGTGTTCCTCCGGACACTGCTAGACCTCTTAAGATACCTGATATTGAGGACAGGGGCTGGATTTCTCATATTAAGACTCTATTAATGTGACAACATTGCCATAGGACAGGCTGAGCCATTTCTCATGATCTTAGGTCAATGCAATATAATTGCTAGGCATGACCGCACAGAAGTCCCAGAAAATAGGAAAGAGGAAGAGGTCAATAGCAAGTTCATTATCTTCTTTCATATCATCTCTCAAAGTCCAACCTGCCTTCAGTGTCATTAGAAGAAGCTAATATTTCTTCTGCTATGTACTCTTACCTACTACATCTACCACTACCATGTATATTTTTACAAACCTATATGTGTCTGCAGGCATATTTCTACATGTAGTTATATACATGTACAACCATCAGGCACATGTTACAACTTCTGAAATCAGGTGTTTATTACTCTCCATTGTCTCTTTCATACTTGATGGACAGTCATTCATTCTTTCAACAAATTTTCAATTAGTAACATCCCCATCCACTTAAATACACCTGCTCTGCTCACAATGGGACTGCAAAGATTAATAGGACAGTCTTAATCTTATCGAGGCTTATATCCTTGTGAGCTCACATTCAAGCTACTCCTGTTCCTCTTTTGGGGGGACTGGGTACTATACTCCTCCCAAGCCATCTCAGGGACTTACACTGGTCTTTGCCCTGAAATAGAAAATTCCAAACAAGCTTTCCGCACTGAAACTACTGCATTATTTTAAGTCCATGCTGGCAAGCAAAGCTTCCACAAGGTAGATTTAATTACTTTATTATGCCTTGTCATTATCCTTTGAAATATCTATGTTCCAGGTGCTAGGAATCAGTTATCTTGGGAGGCTCGTAGGAGCTAAAGAAGTATTAGGGCAAGCAGAAGATTGCTATGTATTTTTTATGTGCGTTTATATAGAGTACCATATTAATTATTCTAGTTATTTCTATTTTACATTAATCCCATGGTTTGAAAGGACAATGATGTATAAACTACAGGTGAGTATGTTGGTCATTTGGGACTCAGAAAGTCTTGTCTCTAGTAATCTACAAAATTATGTATGGCTTTAAGTCTAAGTTTAGGATGCTATATGACAAATTCTGGGCCAACTTGAAGATCTTTAAGGTAGTGACACTCCCTAAACTATGTATACTTGAGAAATGTCAACTAAGTTTTAGGTGCTGAATCTCGCTTCTTGAGCTATCTGTCCAATGTCCCTTGGAAGCCCTATTTAATGTTAAATGACAGGAAAAATCAGCAATTTGTCCAGATTGGATGCCAGCCAGTCTGCTAGCATTGAAGAAGTACTTAGTACACACAACTGTGCAGATACAGATGAAAAGAATGAATGGCAGTAGGATAGCCAGATAGCACCTGTTTATCAACTTAAGTTGGAAGCAATAGACAAGGCAGGAGAGCAGAAGACAACCTTTGATTAATGTAGCAGCCGTGGCAGAAAGACGAGCCCGTAATCATAAGTACAGACATTGCAATTTTTTATATGAAGGCTTCACACTGTTCTCAGATAAAAGGAGTAGAATAGAAAACAATAGGTTTTCATCAACACCAAAAGTATTCTATTAAAATACATGTTTATAAATGGAAATGAACCAAATCTAAGACTTTTACCAGATTTTGATGAGAAGGGATTGGCACACCAGAACCACAAATCCCCTGTGCCTTACAACATTTGTTCTTTTCCCCTTTGTTCTGATTCTGTGTTTGTTGGCAACCCTTTGACTCCTAATTCAGCTTCTTAAGTTCTTTGACGTAGAACATGGGTGACTTAAATAGTTAGCATCTGTATAACCACTATTATAAATTTATAAATCAGAATTATATTTTATACATCAGACTCCTACAAATTTGGTTACTGTGAGATCTATAGTCCCTATAGAGCATTATTTCTGTAAGCCCTGATAATATTGATAAACATAATTTTTCTAGACTCACAAAACTGAAATAAGTCACAGCCCCAAACTTGAGTGAGCTACTCAAAGTAGTATACCCTGTGAAACTTCCTATGACTGTCTGGTCTGCTTCTAGGAAAATTTTGCATCATTTCTGTAACTACAATCCAGGGCTAGTATAATTTTCAGGTTTAGCATTTAATTATTTTCGTATTTAATAATGAAGAATTTTACTTTTTCTGAAGTTTTAATAGATCACAGTACTTTGCTGATAATCTTGTTTGTTTTGATGATTTCTATTACAAAGCTCAGAATGAGGACATACCTGGTTACATCGTTTTACCCCCAAATGCTGGTTCTTTTCTTCTTAATTTTCTTTACTTCTCTACTACCCACAGAAATAGATATAACTATCTGTCTTCTTTCCATTGGCTTTCTTTTATATATATATATAATTTTGTATATAATTTGTATATTTTGTATATTTTGTATATAATTATAAATTATATACAAAAGTATATATATATATTCTATTTTAAAAATAAAAATCTTATTTAAGGTATACAACATGATGCTTTCCTATACATATACATAGTGAAATGATTACTATAGTCAAGCTAATTAACATATCCATCTCCTCACAAAGCTATTATCCATCTCCTTATCTTTTTTTGTGGTGAGAGTACTTGAGACCTACTCTCTTAGCACATGCCCAGTATACAATACAATATTATTAACTATAATCACCAAGCTGTATATGAGAGCTCTCGAACATATTCATTCTACCATAACTCAGTTGGCCTTTCTTCTCATGAC